AAGTGTGCATTGTGTTCTAGGCACATGCAATGATTACCATGATTGGAGCTACTATCCAACCTCTATTTTAATATCATGAACTAAAGGTCGATAAATATCAATTTTTCTTTGAATTAATTTGATTAGAAATCTGCTATTAGTGTAGGTAAATTTGATGAATTATACTATAGTATTTAAAAATACTTTGTTTGATAGGAAACTATGGTAAGGTTTATGAGTTAAGGATAATATGGTTGACTTAAGTCTTGCTTATAATAGCATTTATGTGTAAGAAAAGTACATGATAATAGCCATTTTGAAAATTGTATTTTTTGGTAGGTAATTATTAATTTTTTTAGAAATCCATGTATTAATTTATATGATTTTTATATATAAAATAAATTGATTAGAAGAGATATTATCTATATTTTGGTCTCTTATTTATTTATTTATTCGAGTTTTAAATTTATTTTACTAATACTCTTACATAATTTTTTATTAGTATATTTTATTAAGTAGCATTAAAAATATCTTATGGGACCTTTCTAATATATCTATTGCACTTCTATGCACCTATCTTTGTAGAAATAGTAGGATTTAGAGTGTGCATATTTGTGTGAAAAGAATAGTAATAGGTATCCTTTATTGTAGCCTTCTTTGATAAGTGCATATGCCATTATGTTACTATCTATGTTTGTATAAAATCTTATTTTATATATAGATAATAAATGCTTTCTTTATTGGAGCATAGTAACTATTTTAAATAATAATATATTATTTGGATGATGTTTATGTAATTTTGCATGTTTAATTTGAGTATTGATGAAGTATATGAAGTTTAAATTGTTGATAAATATATATATACTAATTCATCTTATCAATATCTTACACTAAATTTGGATAAATGTGAAAAATGTTAATGATTTTTTTCTTAAGATATTATATAATCTTAGAAGGCATTTTGAGATTCATAGATATTTTATTGAATTGTAGATTTTATGTGAAGTAATTTATTCTTTCGAAATACTTTTAGTCATTTTTTTTGGAAGGTAGAATAATCCATTAGTATAGTAATTATATCTTAGATTTTTTTAAAGAGAATATTTTGTTTTAATTTGGTGAGAGAAGAGGTAGAATGTTAATATAATTTAGATTGATGAGATATATAAGATTATTCTAGTTTTTTTATGTTTTTAACTTTGGTTTGAGGTGATGTATGTGGTGCATTTTGTATAAGATATGATGGCAAATTACATAAGGTTGATATTGTTGCAAATCTTTGCTACATATTGATGTTGCACATTATGTTATTTTGGTGGTGTATACATAGTATTTTTATTACTTTGAGGTTTGTTTTGGATTCATTTATTTTAGGTGGAAGTAAAGATTTATAGTACTTTAATGTGTTGAGTAAGTAAAATTCTATAACATGTAGGTCTTAGAATTTTATAGTATGTAGAATGGTATTAAAATATTGATTTTTATTTTGATTGATGAGAATAATTAAGGTTGAGGGATTTTTTTTTAGTGCATATCTTGTCCAAAATATTGTTGGTTCAAGGTATATAAAGATAGAGTAGGCATAATTAGTACTATTCTATTTGTTTTAAAAAATATATATTTAAATAATATAAATTTTATATTTCTTGTAAAAAATAAATAATATAATTTTAGTATGATTGAGCATATGATAAAAAATGATAAGTAAAAAAAAAGTTATTTTGAAGATCTTTTTAATTGAGTTAAGTAATGTTGTTTTTAGGGAGTGATGTACAAATTTAAGTTGATAATTTTTAAAACAATATATTTATATCTTTAACATAAATATACACTGTTTGTTTCAAAGTTTTAAGTGGTGGTTTAAGGATTGGTATTATTGATATTGCTTTACAATATTGATTTCATAGCCATTTTATTCTAAAAATTAAAATAGTGATAATATGTTGTTTATTTTTTTCATATATAAATTTTATATATAGATTTTTTCTTCTTACATTATATTTATTTCATTATTATATCATATATTTTATAAGATTTTACTCATGAGTAGATATATAAATCAGTTTTATAATATGAGTGATTTTCCATAAATTAGATATATGGATGTGATTGTATTAATATATTTTTTAGATGTTGATCAATTGTGTAAATAGATTTTGTATACTTTGTGATAATGAATCTAAAAGTATGTTGCATTTATTTGGATCAAGGCTTACTATAACAACTAATACATATAATATACAAGAAGGTAGAGGATTTATATTGTTTTGTATAAATTTGACTAAAAATAGATATATATATATATATATATATATATTATATCAAATTATAATTTGGGTATATATTTATTGATTGTGGAACAAAGATATTTTTTATGTTTTGATATTTTGATTTTAATTATATTATGATGCTTATAATGTTATTTTTTTAATATTCTTATAAAATTAAATACTTTGTGGTAGAATATAAGATTGGTCTTGATATCTCTTCATAATAATATGAGAGTTTCTAAGTTTTTGGTATAATATAGTAATAAAATAATTATGTAGTTACTTTGTTTTTAGAATTGGATTAAAGGAATAGAGAATATAAGCCTTTTAGTTTTAAATTATTAATTTTGGTGTTTTTAATACTAATATGAGTTGGAGAGTAGATTTAATTTAAGAAGTATGAATATTTTTTTGTTTGACATATGTTTGTATGTTTTGTCCTAGAGAATTTTTAATTTAATGTAATTTTTTCTACTTGTTGATGAAATAGTTTTTAGGTGATTTGAAGTTGATTTATTTATCCACCATTTATTCTAGATTCACTTTAAATATTTTTTTTTATTTTATATTTATCTAGATATATATATATATATATATATATATATATATATTATAAATTGAATTTTTATTATTTAGAATTGATAAGGCTTAAAAGCCAATGCCATTAAGATTTGTTTTGTGTCTTTTGAATTAGATTATACTTGAAAAATTGATTTGGTTGATTTTTATTTTATTTTATTTTTGCCATTGAAATCTAATTTTATAATATATTTGTTTTAAATTATTGAGAATTATGAATTTTGAACAAGCTAAGATTTCTTTAAACATAAAAAAGAAGATATTGAAGTTAATCCATAAAAAAAATTATAAGCATAGAAGTTTTAAAAATTATATAAATAATATATAATTATCTATTAAAAAAATGAATTAATTAGATCTATTAACTAATTATAGATATCAAGAATTTATTTACTTCAAGTTAATATTGAAGTTAAGAATTATTCAAAGTCATTGATATCATTTTACATCTAATTTATCTTTTAGTTTTTTAATCATATAATTGATATAAGTTAGGATTTTGGAGGTGATGGTTGTAAATAATCTAGCCATGTCTTTCTAAAGCTCATCTTTAATTTCTTAATTTCTTTTATTAAATAATTTGGTGACTTAAGCCATGGTCATGGCAGATTATCTAAACTATCTTGGCTCATTTTCTATAGCCTCCATAACTTTAATAATGATATTTCTAATATTACAAAAACCAAAATTTCAGAGCAATTTTACATTTATAAGATG